GAAGGGGAGCGAGCAACGGTGCAAGCCGGGTAGGGGAGGTGCTGGGGGACGGGGAGCGTGGTGACTTTTTATCGGTGTTTGTCGGTGGGAAACCAGTGGAAAACTGGCGCAGAGATTATCAAGACAAAGTGTCAGGTAGCGCTGTACAAGGAAATAGGCATCCTTCGCGCTGGAGGGTTTTTCTGTTCCCTGCAGGCTGCGTGCAGTTTTGTTAATCGGTATTAAAACGGTGAGGACGATAATACCTGAAAAATCTGCTTATTGTTGCAGATGGGCCAGAAAGCTGGGGGAGAGCTTTTACGTAATTCATTGCTTGAGTTGTTTCGGAAACGCCACTTCTAACTTGAGCGGGCTTGCAGACAGAAGCAGCCCTTAGATAAAGCCTGTCCTTTCCTTGCTTGTTCTTTACCCTCAGCTCCGTGTTTGTGTTGGGGGGGGCGGTGTTATTTGTTTGTTTTAAATCTAGATTAATGCCGTGGTTTTAATACAAACATGAACCTGTCTTCAGGAGTTGACATCACTGAGCAATCAGCCAATTGGTTGACGTTTAACCAACCTTCTTTTTACACATAAACCCCATCAAAGAGTTGTTTACACTAATGTTCTTTTGAAATGCAAATCCCGAATGCCAACAGACTGAAACTCAATTTAGATTAATGTAATTACCTGCAATACACAAATGAGGCTATACTATTTAATAGCCTTCACTTAAACCTTTTTAGAAGATCAAAAAGACTCCTATTGTTGAAGTTTAGTACTACAACAATTAAAATATGCCTCCCTGTGATTTTGGGGTTACCTTTGTAACTTTGTAGAAGCTTGTGGTTTTGCTTTGGTACTCTGAAATAAAATGAAATAAAAATATCTCTAATAATTACGATTCACATCAAAAAAGTATAACAACTTCGTGGCGCGTTAGGTGCGCATCTTCTAGGGAGATATTTTGATACTTCTTAGAAAATTATTTTTCTTCAGAAAAATAATTGTCTCTCTTCTTGTTTTAGGCTTTAAAGAAATCAGTGCTCCAACTATTACCCCACCTCTGAATCAGCCCAAAAGATCAAAAAAACGCCATGCAAATTTAACGTTGGATAAAATGATGGAAAAATTCCTGCAACAGAGCGTGGATACAGAAGAGAAGTTTTACAGATATGAAGAGCAGAGGCTCAAAATTGAGGACAAGCGTCGGGAAGCTGAGCATGCTCGAGAGCTCCAGATGTTACAGATGTTGGGACAGATGTTGGCAGGAATTTCTTCTACGGTATCACAAAGGTCGCAATCGATACCAGCAAGTCCACCTCAGAGAGCGAACCATCGTTCATATGGGGATAACTTTAATTATAATGCTATGACAGCAGCACTTTCTCCACCGATAGGTACTTTCTTCTATAGCATAAATAAAAGCTAGGTTTTTTTAAACTTCTGTGAAAGCACTGGTAGTAAGTAGCTTTTGAAAATAAAAGCTAATTGGAATTATTTAATATTGTGGTGAAGGTGTCTGTCTGATATAAAATGAAATTAAAACATCGTTCGTACCATTGTACTGATTATTTAACATAGATACTTTTATTATAACAAATTTTAATGAGCAAAATCACACTTTTCGAACCCTGTAAACAGTGGGGACTGCTTTCCACATTCACATCTCTACTGTAAAGTGAAGTTAGAAGTTTGATATATAAAAGGCAAGTAGTACATTTACTGAAAGCTATCTGGAAACATTAGGTACCTTGTAGCGGAAATTCTGCTGCTGTTGAAATGTAACAGACCTAAACCAGTATATGAAATTAAGGCTGTGCATATGTTTTTTCAGGGTTGGGAAATGAGTGGAGTTTTGCCTACACTGAAGTAAGTCAAATGTTGAAATCCAGCTTCTTTAAAATAAATTTCTTTAAATCAAAATTCCGAATCTTATCTTTTAATTAGACATCATATTACTGTAGTAGGTGTAATAGAAGATGAAAATATTGTCATATATTTTTCTTCTACACCGGTTCATTTATAAATTCTCTGCGTGTCTGAATTTATTTTAAAGAAAAAGGCAAAGCAATGACTCTAGAATTGGTATTTATGCACAGACTTTTCCTTCCGTACCTTATGTGTGGGCCAGAAGCTGATAATCAGATATTAGCATTCATTAACAGACTTCTCAGGATCTGTGGCTCCGTGTCGTTCATCTTTATCATAGTGTTCTCTGCACGTGGAGGTAGATGGCATAGGCAGGAGGAAAACACAGATACTCTTCTCAGTCCTGAAACCAGAGTCAGCTTGGGGCTCGGTGGTTGCAGCCTGCTGCGTGGAAACGAAACAAGTGTCGTTCTGTTTTAATTCTGAATTTCACAGTGCTTGGAAGAGAACAGCATGGTTTCAAAAGAAAAGAGAAGGAAAAAAAACCACAAAAACAAAACCCACCCAGCCTCAAAGTTGAATAATCATCTGGCACGCCAGATCGTAAAGGGCATTCTCTGATTCCTGAGAGGATCTTGGAGCCTTTTCAGCTCTACGTTACGTACTGCCTTTCCCTGTAAAATGCACAGAGGACTGGATGGTTAGGCCTGTTCGAGGGTTTAGGCTGGTGGACTTGGTTGTGTTTCTTCTTGACTGGGTAGCTGGTCTGTAGCATTCCTTGATGGCAGCAGACTTTCGTAGATGAATGATGGCATGCGTGTGGATTCTTTGTTTTAAATGTTGTTTTCACTTTTAAACTAAAAGGAAACCTGGAGTGCTTTAGAAAATCCCTTAGGAAATCACTTGGGGTTCTAGACTGGGGTGATGGTACTACAGGGCCTTGCCACTACTTCTCAAAGGTTTTCGCTGGAAGACTTTCATTATCTTTAAAGGCTTGAAACTGAGTTCAGTTTTTCATGCTGGATTTGCGTCATATAGGTGTACAATCATATTATACTGTGCAAAAATGCATTATATATATTTAAGTGTAGCAAGAGCAACTCAGGATTCTAATCTTTTACTCAGTGAAGGTACAACAAATTAAGAATTGCTTTTTGCATAATCCTGTTTTCTCCCCGTTTATTATGCAGTCACTTTATATATAAACAAAAAACAGCAACAAAGAAACAGAGGACTTTCTTAAGAACCTTGCACTTTAAGGGTTACAGGCTATATGATAAGTGCATTTCTTGTGTGGTTGAAAACCACTGAGTGTATGAAGTGTGATTTAAAGAAAATAATCTACCCTATTTCCAGGAGAGATGAGCATTTTGTTGTTCTCTGGGTCACTGCAATGCTATTTTGGCCATAATCCAAAACAGGGTTTTTTTTCTCTTTTTTTATTTTCTTTTTTTTTTGTCTTGGTAGGAATGGGATGCCTGTATTACAGAAGCATTTTAAAAGCAAAAGATCATCCAGGAGTATTTATCATTATAGAACACTAAAGCATTTTATTACTGAAGATTAGCATGTCTGCTAGGTTTAGTGTCTGTAGAAGATGGATAAAAAGATGCTTTCTACTGAAAGCGCACAGATGCAGAGTTTTCTTGTTTATTACATTTTTTTCCCCATTATTATGTTCAAAATTTCTG